CCCGCAGGATCAACTACTCGGTCCCTCTGGGTAGCTGGCTGTGACCAAGCAATGACCATAACCTTGCCCCTTGTCAGCTCTACTATACACCTGGGATATAATTTTTTTTTTTTTAAGGGAAAAGATAATCAGAGCCAAAGACACTAAATTAAGTTTTAAAAGATTTAAAGGATTGGGTTAAGTTAAAATATTCTTGGAGAAAAATTAGCCTGTTTAGTTTGGAGAAGATCCTTGAAATATAGACCAGGGAAATGTTATCTGTACCTGATCATCTCATTCTGTTCTGTCTGAGGGTGTAGGTTCTATGTATGGGTTGGGTTTCTTTTAAGAAAAACTGTTTTATTTGGACCCGAATTCTGAAATTTCAGAAGGTAAACTCTAAGGCTGACCAAGTTGTGTATTTTGTGGTGCTTAAGTTGGAATTGGTCTAAAGCTTCCTTCTTGTGGGCTGAGGTGGTACGTGCAGTTGGTTTCGGGAATATCTGAGCACATAGGACTAGAACAGAATGGGGAGTGGTGTGGACTTGGGCACTTAGAACAGAGACTGCTAGATCCAAGTCAGTCTCTGTAGCTGTACCAGTATAGCAGGAGGAGGTGAAGGCATCTTTGACTGCAAAGGTCAGCCTGTATAATACCCTGGAAAGTACTTATATTGTCATACTTTGGTCCTGATTTGCAGTCAGTTGTGGGTAAAAGCTGGTGTGTTGATGTTGAAACATACTACTGGCCATTTGCATTTATCAGAGAAAGGCTTTTTTTTGGAAAACATTATTATGCAATACTGTTCTGTAGTCGAGTGACATATTGCAAATTCCTGGATTGGAGCAGTTATCCGGGTTGTACTACAAATTGCTCGTGTCCACTCATCCATCAACTCCACTCTTGCTCTTAACTGGTGAAGGCCAGCGTGTTCCCTTCTGTTTTTTCCTACTTGTTTTTATGTTAGTTTCAAAAAGAAAAAAGAAAAAAAAAAAAAGATTTTTTAAAAAAATGAGTATATTTCTCAGTTTGTGGCCTCCCTCTCCTTCAGGGAGTTCTGCTTACCCTGTTCCATTTTGCTCTCCTCTGGATGACAGGGAATAAGATTGAGAAGAGAGTCTACTCTTCCTAAGAGATAGGAAACTAAGATGTAGGAAAGTTAGTGGTAAAAAAAGTTTAAAGCTCACAAAGACTGTCATCAATGGATTGAATATTTGAGACCTTAAAGAAACCAGTCTCCTGGTTCAGATCGAGCCAAAAAACCGGTTGCTATCAAGTCAGTTCTGACTCATGGACACCCCATGTGCATCAGAGTACAATTGTGCTTACAGATTTTCAATGCCTATCACCTTTGAAATCCAAGGAGGGGTCGGGTCGCTATGAATCGGGTCCAACAACAACAATCACTTTTCAGAAGTAGATAGCCAGGCCTTTCTTCCGCGGAGCCTCTGGGTAGATTCAGGCTGCCAACCTTTCTGTTGATAGCCGAGTGTTTGTGCCACCCAGGGAATACTAGATCAATCCAAAAAGTAGATACTGGATGCTGTTTATGTGGTAGGCCCTTTGAGGTCAGAGGAGTAAAGACCAGGGCCTCTACCCTTGAAATTTATGCTCTAAACAGAGAGATTAGTGGTAAGCTATGAAAAGTGAACTAAGTATTTGATTCACAGGTCAAGATAAGAAAGTAGAGAGTGTAATCCTAGGTTATGCTATTGCCAGTATTTTTAGAGTCTGAGTCATTTCATGAAGGTCTTTCGTATTCTTTGCATCAGAAAATATTTAAGGATCTGCCATGTTCCAAACATGAATAAGACCAATGAGGTCCCAACCCTGGAGGAGCTCACAGGCTGTGAGTGAAGTCAGATCATCAACAAGTAACATATAGCACAGTTAGAGACTATTTTCCAGAAAAGAGAGTTTTATGCCTTAAAGCTGAATTCACCAGTGAAATGGCATAACATATTATCATCATTTGGAAGTGTTTTCACTTGCCATCTTGGCAAGTATTTCTTAAAGATCTCTTTTGCTGTCTTAGCAAGGCTTTTTGTTTCTTCTCGACATATATGTCAGGGATGTTCTTTCCATCAGCCAAAGGAAATCCGTTTTATAGGACCAGACAGCCACGGCCCTTTTAATCATTGGGGGGAATGGTACAGATCTGATATGCTGAGGAGGTAGTATTTGTAGACTGTTACCCATTAGCACCATTCCCTTTTTCTCAATTTCTAATTAAAAATGATTAAACGTACAGTTGAAAGCAAGAACTAACCAGAATTTAATCTTTTTCAGAAGCCAAGAAGAAAGCACCCTGTCCTGGACTTGGCTTGTTTTACACATTACTATCTGCCTTCTTTTTCTCAGTGGGCTCTTTGTTTGTTAAAAAAGTACAAGACATCCATGCTGTAGAAATCAGTGCGTTTCGATGCATATTCCAAATGCTAGTCATTATCCCTTGCTTAATATACAGAAAGTAAGTATTTCTTAATGGCAAAGTTGAAGATGTTGATAATAAATGTTGTAAATCTTTTGACCTGCTTGAATCATTTACTCTAAAATATCTGATCTATCCTGCTTACAGACGTACCAGGTCCTATGCCTGTTGGCTCTGATTACTGAAAAGTCCCAAGGGTCCACTCACAGAAGGTCCTCTCATAAGCACAGACCAAGTGCCCAACAAAGAGGGTGAAAGAGATTTAGTTAACCACTCCCCTCCATTTTGAAAGCAATGCTTTGCTTTTGTAATTCCTCCCATCTTGTACTACCCCCACCCCTTTTTCCTTTGGTATAACTAACATTTGGAAGAAAAACAGTAAATGAAAGGAAGTAGTAGTGTCTTCTAGTACAAGTGGTTTCTGTAGAAGAACCGCTGGTCTCTTACCAGAGTAGACGGAGGATTACAGTAACAATATTTAGTTCTTCCCATGGGGGTGATGTGGTCAAGGGGAAAGGTAACCTTAAGAAGGCCTTTTTAATTACTTTCATATTCTATTTCCTCATCTAAATTGCAGAGAATGGTACTTTGTGGTTTCTCTACCCTACAAGGTGGTTGCAGTGGTCAATAAGATTAATTGTATGTGAAATCACTTAGTGCAGAATGGAAGGGTATATAAAATATGCCTTGGTCCTCACTGTACTCTCCTCATTCAACTTCTCTTCCCCTTCTGTATGGGAACTCCCCCCCCCCCCCGTTCTTTTCTTGGTTAAAATTATGCCTCCCACACATTGTTATAACCTCCACATACCCTACTATACTTAGAACCCTGGGAGGAGAGACCAGCTGAATCCCTGATGTCTGTCTCTCTTTTTCTCTTTGGGCAAAGATACTGATCCCCCAAATTAAAAGCTGGAAACAATTATATAGGTAAATGTCCCTTTTTAGTCACTTGCCACCAAAGTCTCCTTTTGTTTCATAACATGGTACAGATTCACATGTACATTCACATGGTACAGTTTCACTCCATAGCTCAAGGATTTGGTAGAAAAGGTGAAAATCAGTTAAGATCAATATTATCAGAATTTCCTGTGTAAGTACAGACAAAGCACGCTAGTATAGGAATTGACGGTAAGGCCTCAGAAATTTCTAACAGTAGCAGCAGAACTCCTGCTAAATGGTGGTAACGTAATCATCTCTGCTTTAGAACAAAACTATTGTCAGGGGAGGGGCACCAGAAGGATTTCCTTAAATGCTTGTCCCTAGTCTGTTTTGATCTGTTTTATGTTTCACTACCATATAAGAACCTTAGCCCTGCAAGGTATATGCTAAGCAAGACCATACTTTAATATCTAACTCTAGATACCCAGGGATTTTCATGGCAGGCCTAGATGCTGGCCTAACTAATGAGTTGCATTCAACCAGGAACTAATATAGAATTGGTTCTTAATAAATATTTAATTGAAAAGAAAAATTGAGTAGCATTAATTATACTTACTCAAACACTACATGTTCTTTTTCAGTGTGTTTTAATTCTTTTTCATTAGACCAATGAAAAGTCTCACATTCACTAACTAAAATAAATTTCAGCACTGTTACAGCGTTTATAGATTGGAAAGGCAAAGTAACCGAGACCAGATTTCCTCACACAGGGCAACTAAATCTTATCATTGCATTTATTATAAAAACAACACATTTTCATTGTATAAATATAAAAGGAGGAAAATTGCTTTAAGTCTACCATTAACCATTATTAATGAGATATAACCCTAAGAGTCGGGTCTGACTCGAGGGCACATAACAACAACAACAACAACAATGGTTCAGCATATTTTCCTTTTATCTTTTCTGGAAGCCTATGTATGACTCTGGGAGGAAGACCTAGCAGCCTCTTTCTATTAAGATTATGACCAAGAAAACCTTTTGGAGCTGTTCTACTCTGTCATACAGGGTTATTATGTGTGGAACCAACTCAAAGACACTGAACAACAGCAGCAATATTTATACATATATATGGGGGAAA